AGCCCTTTTTTGCTATTTATTAAATCACACTTTTCTTTTTTCAGGCTTCTGTGTGAGCCTGCAAAAAAATGTAGCTGCTTTAATGAGTCAAATTATTAACACAGTATGCCTTTAATGCAGCTCTTAAAGCAAAAGCATCGTTTTTCCAAGACTCATGCAAGCCTGAAATACACATACAGGCTTGAATGAATAGCGGAAATAGTTTCTGAAGTACAGGCAGCTCTAGAATCTAGCTTTCCATTTGATTCTGATGCCATGACAGCATAGTTGGTTTGTTGATTATCTGTGTCTAAGTCAAGAGTCCAAGAATGCTTTGCATTTGGATGTACATTTGATTACATTATTGTCTGTTACACCCCTTTTCTCTTATTATAATGAGATAGTGTAAAAGAATAAAATAAGAGCAAAATACATCAAACGTGCTTTTACAAAACAACAATCCTATGACGGTTATAGATATAAGGCACTAACTCCAGGAGAACTCTATGGGAATATATGAAAAGCACTTCAACCAACTGAGAATACTGAGACATATTATACCCAATAAAACAAAAATCCATGGAGACAATACCAAGGAGTACAGAAATTATATGGCAACCACTTCAAATAGTGGCATATTTTTAAAGTGCTTTTAATTTATGTTTATAATAAGAATACCAAGAAAGTTTGCTGTGCCACTAAATATTACCATCTTTCATTTGCTGTCACATTCCTATATCTGGATTGAATAAATTGCCATCAGAATGAATGTATGTCATAGTGTTTGCATAATATTACATTTCTATAGATAAAGTTTACACACAGTTGTGTTATTTAGAGGGCAAAATTAGCACTGTTCAGTGATCTTTTCCAACCTGCACGTGAAACACACCCAGAACAAAATCATCGTTACATCAGTGTCAATAATTACATATGGTTGGTCAATAAGCTCTTAGTACTCACCCTGAAGGGTTGGTCAGGGATAAATGGGAAATATGGAAGAGATGACTGTTCTTCTCCCCGTTCTCCAGATATGCAGGAATTCCTGAGGAACTGTTTATCTGAAAATATGGCTTTCAGTTCGATTGCTATATCCGCAGGAGGATCTTCTGAATCTCCACATGTAAGACTGATGTCAAAACTGTAAAGGCAAGAGTCTCTCCTCATGAAACAAGCAATGAAATCCAAGATGCAGCCTATGTATAAACAAATGCCTTTCTAACTGGCATTGCCAACAGTAATTATAGTTGGTGTAGTCCAGGTTTCAACTTCACCACCCTAGTTTGTCTTCCTTACTGCTATTTCTCAATATACCTGGTTCCTTCACCCCCACCAACAGGGAGATACTCTCCATTCAGAAAACAAACATCCCTCCTTGTGCCTATTTATAACAAACCTTCCCTTATAAATAAATATTACATACATATATATATCCCTCCTCCCTATAGGTCAAATGAGAAACCAGTGTTCTATATTTGCAACTGCAGATAAAAATAACTGTCCTCGGGAATGATGGATGTTTGGCAGATACATTCTTCTTGTGGGAATGCAGCTTTTCTCGTGGTTCTTGGACAGAGAAGGGATGCAAGGACAGGGATGGAAGGGCCCTGCCCGCAGAAAGCAGGCCTGGCCTGTGTCTTATTACCTCTCTGGGTTGAGATCCACGATGCCCATTACCACGACTTTCTTGCCTGGCCTCATTCCTCCTTTGATGTGCCCGCAGAAAGGGACAATCTGGAAAAGGATTGCAGGGAGTCAAAATGAACAGCCTCTGATTACAGAGTGGAATGAGAAGGGGGCCAGATCAGGCCCCATTATAATAAGAGAGGGAGAGAGAGAAAGCCAAAATCCTTTACCAGTCGTGGAAAATACACTTCGGCTTGAACTGGGGACCCCAAAGAGTTGTTTAGAAGTCTGTCCTCTATTTTCTAAAAGCAAAAACAAAACAGCACATTCAGATACAGAAGGCACCCTTTGTGTTCAGCCCAGAGACCTACGGAAAGGGGAAGAAAGAGGGGGGGCCGGCTGAGCAACAGAGCGCCAATTTCATTTCAAGTCTTGAAGAGAGAATCCATCTTTTTCCTCCAGCCCTTTTGCAAAACAAAGGGTGTTGCCTCCCAATTCCCCAGCAAAGTCTTCCAGGTACAATTCATGTCTGTCTGCTAAGGTGAAACAGAACCAAGCACCCCTCCCCCCTCCCCATCTATGTATCCCACATACCTGATCATCCAGGTGCAAAAACGCAAAAACCACTCCCCCCCCCCCCCAAAAAAGCCTGGGCGGGAGAAGGAATACGGAATCGCGGAGTTAGTCCTC